GTTCGAATAGGGTTTGTTGAATATGTTGATGAAATTAGCCCTCTCGGATGCGTCCGGGCGGTGTTTATGCAGCGGTTTGTGAGTCAGGCGCAGCTCTGGGCAGATGGCGGTCGGGCTGGTGCACAAGGTTCGCTTTATATTCATCAGGTTAGCTGATCTCCGCCATGATGTATTCAAGCATCCGACAAACCTCACTCAGCGTCGGGTCCCTGCATAATGAATGGATGCAGAAACTCAAAAACAACACAGAAGTGATTTTCAGCTCAGTTTCACTCTCGCCTCACCCCTGACACGCTTTGATTTGGTAAATAGAGGGATATTCTGACAAAAATGCGGCTTGAATGTTTATGAAGTTTTGGAGAACGAGAACACCGGGGGCTGATGGCTATTTCAAGAACTTGGCGCAGGATCAGTCGGCGAAGTTCACCGTGTGGTATTAAAGAAAGACGTTCAATTCTCGCAATCTTCCTCAAGTAAAACCCTCAGAAAGTAGACAACGAGACAAAGTTGCAGTCAGTTCTGCTTTGTGCGTTTACAGATCTTTGGCATGAAGACCTTATACAGCTAATAGTTAAAAGTTTTACATTGCTGTTGTGTAATATACAATTCTTTTCTCTAGTTACTCCTCTGTATAGTCAAGGAATATAATGGTTGGCTTGTGAAATGACTGTTAAAATCATTTAATGAAATTATTCAAAATATCTTTATAGCTAACTCAAATCATTTGCTTCACTACTGTGCACAACCGATTGTTTCACTGATTACAGAAAAGACTTTATAAACTATTACCTCCATTGCAAACCGTGTGAACAGAATTCAATCATGTTCTGTTTTTCCACGGCTGCATGCGTGTACGTTGAGCAGACATGCAGCCATGACATGAAAAATAAAATCCGCTCAGCTGCTAATTAGCAGACAGTCGGGTTCTGCGCCAGATGCGATATCATGCTTTATTCATTATGTGGCGTAAAGGGTCAAGACGTGTTGTTCGAGAAGCGTCCACGCATGTGAGCCCCCTGAGACGTGTCATCTCATTTGCAGCGAGCTCCGTTGTCCGCACAGACTCGGGCGAACACACCTGGTACACTGTATGTATGGACGTGATACCTGTGAGAATGTGTCACCTTGCACTGTTCCCACTGCACCGGATCTCTGTCGTGTGTGTGTGTGTGTCTGTGTGTTTTGTGTGGCGGGAGAGTCGTGTTTGTCTGCCTCTGTTGTGTGTGTGTGTTTTTTAAAAATCTTCTGCAAAAGAGATTGTAATTATAATCCGTTTGTGCATATTGGAACGTTGTGCATGGGGCATCCAGGTATTCCTCATGTTATCTGTTCACACACCGACGTTGTGGTGACTTGTCGTCCACACGGAGGCAAACAAACACAATGTAAATCATTAGGTTGAAAGGTGGAGTCGCGATTTAAGTCTGGGTGAGATTAGGTTTTAATTAAAGCGAGGTTTGGCTTGTGGGGTTAGTAGATCACAGTAAGACTCCAGGAAATGAATGTAAGTCGATGTAATGTCCTCTGAAGTCACGGATACACAAATGTGTGTGTGTGTGTGTGTCTGAAGGAGAAGGGGGGCATCGGACAGGTGCTTTAAGAGAACCCCTTTGACTCATGGTCTCTTCACTAATTAAGTTTAGGCTCTTTATGTGCGTGTGTGTGTGTGTGTGTGTGTGTGTGTGTGTGTGTAGTTGCCTATCCATGGGAAAGCTTTGCTGTTTCCACTCCCTCATCCTTTGATTATTTTTTTTTTTAAACTCGTCTAAAAGCGCATTCAGTCTGCCCGGGTTTGATCAAAGCTCTGTGAAGCTCCCACTTCTTGGTATTTTAGAATATCTGAATTCGCTATATTATGACATATTAAGTGTTGCCAAAATATCCATGTAATTTGTGTTTTCGTGAACTTTAATCTAAAACAGAAAATAGCGATCTCCAGCAAAAGCGATATTTGTAACGATAACAATACGATAGGTGGATGTGTTTGTCAAATGTCATTTGCCACTCGCAGTCAGACAAATGGATTCATATCAGAGACAAACAACAGTGACTCGACCCCGTCTGATCAACAAATAAATAAAAAAACGACTGAAAGCGATATTTTAAAGGCAGCCTTCCCTCATCATTTTTAATTTTGAATTCACACTGGTGATAAAAGGAATTGTATTAATCAGAAATTCCACATTTCTACACCTGTGTTTTGAAAAGGTATGGTTTGTTAAAGACCAGCATCACAGAAAGATAAACTAAATGTTCACTATTTTTGTGGCTCCAACACACAACACAAGTAATTTCAGGGAACTAAAAGGTCAAAACCAAATAACATTGAAATGAAAGTTAATCGTCAAGGCAAAGCTAACTTGACAGGCACATTTGCAATATCCAGAAAAGAGCCTTTACAGCTGGTATATAGAACTTCAGGTAAACACAGCATTTCTGGCTAAAATGAATTTTTTTAAATTTAAAAGTTCACCTCGAGGAACGACTGCAGAGCTCATGTAGGTTACAGTAGCAGCTGATGCAACATCACCTCACTGCCTATTTGTGTCAATCACATCTGATGCAGTGTGTGAAATCTATTGCCACATACATATATCGGACAGCAGTTTTAAGGTTCTTGCGTGAGCAGCAGCGTATGTTGTGGCTGCGTTCACTGTTCACCCACACAGAGACAGGACGGGTCACACAGCCCGCTCGCCAGACACCAAAACACTCCATCACTGCTCATTGTTTCTCACTATTCATTACTACTTAGCGATTACAGAGACTTTCTGATCTTATCTGTGTTCAGGAAAGTCTAAATTGTTGGATTTTTTTTATTTCTTTATTTATTTTTCCAGGAGCACACAGATTGCTGTAAAACAGAGGTGGTTCAGTCTGCGTGTGCAAAAATAGTCCCGCATCCACCGGCTGGGATGATGGTCTTCAGCCTGAGTGGGAGTTGTTGGCTGAAACGAAAGACGAGAGAAATAAATATATATTTTAAGGATAATACTGCTGTCGGTGAGACTTTTTTTTTCCCTGTTGTCACACACCATTACATTTAGTTGTCGTTTTAATACCGTGGATTCTCTTTCTGTTTGTTTCCGAAGCGAAAACGGTGAAATGAGATTTGTCAAAGTCCATTTGAATTCGCGTGGCTATTTGTCACAAACACTTTCATTATCTGTGCTCAGACTGTTTTGTTTAACCAAGCTGCTGATTTAAAATTCACATTTAATTCGCTTCACTGGCCTTTAGGTCTAAATTATGTTTTTTTAAAGTTTGCAAATGTGACAATCAAATCAGAATGAAAAGATCATTTTCTTACAATGATCTAAAACAGGAAACACAGAGTTTTAAGCGTTACGCCGCTAACTTGTGTGTCCATTTGTCGCTGAAGTTAAGCTTGGAAAGCGTTTGGAGGCAGGACATTGTCAGCAGGACCAAATTTACACTGCGCTTAAGCAAGTTGAATCGTGCCTGCCACCCACAAGCTATTTTCCACCTGCTGCCCTCCTACATCAACAATAGTGAAGCAGAGCTGAGGATAAACACAAATACAAACAGACACAACAGAGTGCACATGGCAGCCACGCTCTTCAGATTAACCTTTATCCACCCTGATGAGACTTGTTGTCTTTACCTGGAGCACTCTGCATCCAACACAATATGGACACCATACTGAAACAGGACTAACCTTTTCTTCCGCTCTCTCCGAGGTTTTCACTCTGAGGAGCTTTTTGGTTCTAAGAGGACATCAGCAAATAGGTCAACCTGGGGTGACCCGTCTCCCCCTCTGAAAAAAAAAAACAATTTAAAACTGAAAGCTCCTGCAGGGCAATTTGATGTCTGTAGTAGTTTTTCTAAGTTGGGGTTAGTTGAGGGGACACTCACGCAAAAAAAAAAGACAATTGGTTTGAGAGAATTTGCATCAACGCTCCATGCCGAAGCACACTATCCATTATCACACAAAAGTTTTTTGTCATTTTAATGAGCATTTTGGGAGTTCACAACACTTTCCCATTGCTGCTACACAATCCTGTAATCAGGGAGAGAGACGGAGACGGAGCGAGAAGAGAGCAGCGGGATCGGGTTTCTCAGCCGCTCTGTACCCTAATCCTGGATTTGGAAACGAGATGAGAAGAACGCAGGTAAGTACAAACACAAGCAATTACAGCACCGACGTGGGATTGGTGGGTGGGGTGGGGGGGTCGAGCGGCTCGATAGGAAATAGGGGATCTCATAGGTCGAGAGGGGGTGGTTGGTTGTAGGTGGGTGGGATATAAATACCTGCAGTAGACAAGGGCAGAAAAATGCTGAGGCTATGACAGACGTTGGCTCACCTCCATCTATATTAGTGAAAAAGACAGGGAGATGCACTGTAGAGGCCTTAATGAGAGAAATCTGTGTAGCTGAGAGCCACATTTCAGCAGGTATAGTAGCGACTGTATCGTGAACCCGAAGCTCCTCAAAGTTCATCTGCAGGAGTCTTGATTCAGAGTAGAGTTGTGCCTAAAACTGTGAAGAGTTCTGGCTGAAGCGCTGACATGCATTTCTCTTTGAAAAAAAAACAGTAACATCACAGTTTTCTACCTGCACATTCCCAAGTGACTAAAGGGAGAAGTATGCTTGACTGAGCCAGAGAGAAAAGGACAAGACAAGAAGACGATACACGAGGTGAAAGGAGGCTAGACGCAGCCAGGAAAAAAAAAAAAAACAGAAAAAAAAAAGACAAAGCAGAACAAGAGAAGGCCAAAGAAGACAAGACAAAAGACATAAGGCGAGACAAAGCAGACATAACAAGTCTGAAGACAGGAAGGCAAGGAAGCAGATTTAAAGAGGGCAAGATTAGAGAAGCCAAAGGAAGCAACAGGCGCAGCAACAATGGGAGGCGAGACGAAATAAAGCAAGCAAAAAGGGGGAAGGTGAAGACGAGGAGCGTGTTAAGGGACCACGTCAGAAACTTCAATTTACCATTGGGACCGTTCTAGACAGTCCAGGAAGAGAGAGAAAAAAAAATGGCATGTCAGGCATTTGGTGCTGACTCTTTCACCCCACTGACAGGAGATTCACCTTTGCCCATCCTCATGCACCATGGATCTACCAGCGACTGTCTGCCAACCACCTCCCACGCTCACAGCATGGTCTCCGCAGGTAAAGTCGGTCTTCTATCTAGTCGTGTAGTTTTCTTTTGTATGATTCTCGTCTTCTTTTTTTGTTTTGCTTGTTTGTTCCGGCTTTGTCTCTTGCACAGTGAGTGGAAGCTTCTAGTGTCTTATTAATGCGACGCGTAATTCATGTTTTTGTGATGCTAAAACCCAGCTGCAGGAAGACAGGCCTCGTAACAATGGACAGTCTTCCACTTCAAAAAAAATATTGGCATTGTGCCTTTTTAAGTTAACACACTTCACCTACTGTTGGTTGCATACGTGTATGAATGCCGGGCCGGTTGCTCTCATGGACCTCTAATTGATCCGACCGTGCCGGGTCGTTGCATCGATGCCCCCTTATCAAGGCGCGGTCGTCTTCTCAGCCAATGGGAAGAATAAATTGAATTGGAAAAATACATTTATTCATATCCAGTCCAAATTATGTAAATGTATCTAATCAGCTACTTTGGCCCAGCTGTCTCTACTCAGTGGATAATTGCTTTGAGGGTATGTTATCAGTATGACAAACTCCCCCAAGGTCTTTTTCATGATGGAGCATTGTGCAGAAAACTTCCTGGGGCTTTTAGTGCCTGCTGATTGTTACAGCTCAGGATAGACAGGATTAGATCACACAGAACATTATTCATACAATGCATTTCTACAGCAGCAGCAGCAGAGGGGTAAACTAGCTTGTAGAGAGGATTCATTCTGTCATTCTGCACATTGACCCATCTTCTTGTAAGTCCATGATTGACATAAAGTATGGCTGAAAAAGCCTGTAAAATCTGTAATATTTAAATAATGACGGCACCATTGTCCTCTATGGTACAGTGGTTTTGTTGATGTTTAGGACAGCTTGTCAGTGGGTCTGTACCAACTCATCTCGACGATACCAGTAAGCATTCACTAGCCTCTGTAGCGAAGACCCAACCGCATAGCGTGATGAACGCATGAATAATTGGATAATTAGCAGATGATATCATGTCGGAAAGACACTTAGCAAAGCAGCGGTTTTAAATAAAAACCATCAGTCTGCGCTTTGGTTTGCTACCACGTCTGAGCTCCTCGTGAAGTCATTTCACACCAACTTTTAGAAGGTTAAGCGAGGTGTGATATCCGTCAAATGCAGCCGTTTGAAGCGCTATCGTTATCTAGTTCAAGTTTAAAGTATAAATGCATTCAAATCCGACTGACTAAAGGCTAGTCGAATGATTTATATTATTGATTTCTGATGAGAATAGTAAAATCAGTGCAGTAAGTGTAAAAATTGATTGAGAACTTGCACATCACTGGTGTGTAAGAACCCACATGTTATGAACTCCAGTTTAAAGATATAATTGGATCATATGCCAAGACATGACAGCTTCTAGCCGTTTTGTGATGAAAATAGTGAGTAAGCTTTACATCACAAGGTGCTTTACAATAAAACACTAAAAAGCAAATAAGGGACAGAGCGCCAGACAGTCGGACGGAAGCAAAAGCAAAGTTCAACAAATGTGTCTCAATAAAAGTAACCTATCGTGATCATAAATTAAATGGAAGAGACTTCCAGAGCTTCGGCTACAAATTCATAAATCTAATTTTGTCTTAAGCTAAGAAACGCTGCTCAGAGGACCTCAGATTCCTACAGATTTGATGTGACCACAGTATTTCGTACACATAAGCAGGTCTGACCTGGATTCTGAATTTGATGGATTATACAGTTATTCATGAAACTCTGCATCAGTCTAACACTTGCTGGCGCTGTTTTCAGTTTCTCCCTCCTCTCTGCTCAACCACGTTTTTGTCTCCATCAGTATCGTCCGGGCTGTCCCTGGGCCAGACCACCAAGCGCCCCCACATGCACCTGTCCCCCTCCTCCCTCAGCAACGCTCTCGGCAACGGCCCCCCGAGCTTACATTACCCCGTCGCCCCCTGTCACTACAGCAACCAGCAGGCCACCTATGGCATGATGGCAGGTGAGTGGAGGCGGCGGAGGAATTTGTGACAGCTAGGAAGGAACGGCTGCGATGAGTCTGGCAGCAAAGTTTATTGGTTAGTCGATCAACAAAATCAATATCAAGCCCCAGCTGGTGAATGGAAATGATGTTTGTATTTAATATATTTATATCATCAACTTTGACCCTCAATAAGTGACTCTGAGGAGTTTTGTTCTTGTGACGTGTTCCAGTCTTAATGATAACATCACTGCAACAAACTGTTCGACTTCTTACTGATAAAAAAAAATGCCACTTAGCAACAATTGCAACGCTGGCATTAAATTAGGACGCTGATGAGGATTCATGGGGAGGGAAATGGTATCGATCTGATAATAACATGCTGTAGATTATAACGACGAGGACGACCACGATCAATATGAACTGAGTGTGGAAACGTACATCCTGACGTGGCCTGACTCATTACATTATCCACTTTCAGGCATGTGTGGGCATTGCGCGGTCCCAATCCGCATGCCAGGAGCAATGCCATCCATTTATCATGCAGAAAAGACATCAGTACAGTCAGACTTTTGTTTGGGTCTGAGGCAGCCTGTCAGATCTGTTGTTGAAGAATCGCACTAAAAAGCATAACTCGCGCCGATTACAGTAACGCTCAACAGTGACGGATATCATAGAGGCTTTGATGATGATTATTCTGCAGACAGTGACAATTACGCTGCATAGTAATGATGATTTTTTGCGAATAAAAGCCTCTCCCTCCCTCCCTTTCTCTCTCTCTCTCTGCAGCACAGGAGATGCTCTCTGCCAGCATCTCTCAGACTCGTATCCTGCAGACCTGTGGCGTCCCTCACCCCAACATGGTGAGTGGTGCAAACCCACTGCAAGGTAAAGATAAGAAGCACGCGTTCTCTCTCCACACACACACCCCCACACACACACACACACACACACACACACACATGCTCGCTCCCTCTCCTGGCCTGACGTTAAATCCGGCAAATTGAGCAGAAAATGTGTTTATTTTCCATTTAATTTCAAATCTGCTAACAGTTAAAATCAATTTCAGCCTTCATTACCTCGCTTGAGCACTTGGGCGCACTTGTTAAACACATGCTGTCAAACATGGCTTGCCACTTGCCCGGCCTGCTGTCAGGAGGGGCAGCTGTCAGGGTTTTTGATGGTCAACATTCCAAAGAGACTGATTTATAAGAGGAGGGGAGAAAAAAAGAGCCTTACCATATTAATATTACAGCACTTCTGTCACTTGCAGCGTTTCATGCTGAAGCTAACTTGTGTCCACAGACTGTAAGAAACACTCACCCAACAGGTCGACTCTATCAGACAGCATAACACGACCTGCGTATACTGCTGCTTTTGAGTAACATAAAATAACGAAGGGGAAAAAATAAAAGAACAGAGACATAAACAAGCTGCCAAGGTCTGAGGTAGATAAAACAGAATTTAACTTGCGATGCATTTTTCTTTGTTAGAGACAGAACGACTGAACAGTTTCCTATGATATAACCAAGTGGGAGCAAATACAGATCAAAAAGAATAAAACCTAAAATGAACCCCGGGTGACGCGGAGCTATTAACGTTTGCAGAGGAAGTAAAACAACTTCTTTGCAGAGACGGGATTGTTCAAAAGTAGGATTTTAATCGACCCGTTCCTGCAAAATGGTCTCGCGAAATTGTATCATCGATGATGTCAAAGACTGTGCCGAAATACATTAGCATTAAATTGAACAGGTGTCCACTCTTATTACCACCAGGAGGTAATTTGTCACGTTAATGATCTCGGTTTCTCCACTGCTGAGTGATCAAACGGCACACCGAAGGCAAATATAACCGTCAGTCAGCCTGTTTGGGATGAATGTGCAGCTTTTGTCTACAAACTTTAGAAGGAGAAACGGTATGTGGGATGATGAATGTTTAGGACAAAAGGATGCTTTTGGTTTATTTTGCTTGAAAAAAAAAAGAGCGAGAACAACCAGAACAGTGACAAACCACTTCAGAAAAACAAGAAAGAAGAAATCAGCTCTGATGAATCGCAAAATGAGACGCGTTCAAATCGGTCAGCAGCTGCAGCGAGGAGAAGGATGTTTAAGATGAAAGGGCAGAAACAGAGTTAATATCATTAAACGGAGCTCTAATCGTGAGAGCCGAGGTGAGGGAGAGAAAATTGCTCCTTTCATTTTTCTAAAGCCGCACTAATCTATTTTTATGTTAACAATGGATCAAGTGACTTAATGTAATGTGAAAGGTGTCGCCTTACAAATCCACAGTGAATTATTACGTCCGTGGTTCCCCCCCAGTTGGTCTCTTTTACTTCATCAGCCTCATTTTCAGCCGCAGAAGGCAACACTTACGGTACACCACCAGCCCAGCTGCACGTTTAACAGCTGAAGGGCCGGAAATCTTTCTCAGTGTTTGGTTTGACACCAAAATAGAGCTGAAACGACAGCGAGTATGTACATAAAGCACAGACATGAGGCTTCAAATGAATGCTGAACCCTATCTGCTAAATGCGTGAACAGTTATCTGCTTCCTGAGACCTTGAGCATGAAAACTTTACACTTGTTTGAAAGTCAATGCTGTGATTTCGTCATGTTCAGCGGGGAAAGTCCTGCCGCTGCAGCTTTCACTGACGGTATCATATCAGTGTCAGTTTGTTTGCTGTCCGTCTTTGCTAAAGCTGTTGATGCTGCTACACTCGTTGGATGGTGCACATGTACAGCAGCTGGAAGGTCCATGTCCATGTACACAGAGGCTTCAGAGGTGTTTTCACAAAGCCAGTAAGCCCACATGTGTTGCGAACGGGGCTCGCTGCCCGGTCCGTCTCCATAGCAGTGTTCACTGCAGCATAGCTGTATGTGCGCTCCCCTGGGAACGCGAGCGCAGGCATCAGGTAGAGGCATGGAAAGGCCTCTTCTCTCTCGCCAGCACAGTGGGGAGAACGGGGATGCATCCAGCTGAATCATCCGAGAGCTGCTGCTGTTCTCGGGGGTAAAGAGTTTGCCACAAATCCCTTCCCACCGATAGCAAACAGCTTGAAGGTGCAGGAGTGCCGTGCACAGCCTGCTCACTTCTCTGCTGTTGATTTTAAGAGCGATATCTCAGCTGACAGCAGTTTAAGAGACATCAAGCAATTAAGCGCCACAGAAACGGCTCTGAAAACGAACCGACAAAGGCAGACATACACTGGAGCTGAAGCAATTTCAAGAGAGAGAGGAACTTCAACCTCTGCCTCACACCTCCAGCGCGAGAGAAATTCACTGATGCATTTTGGTTCAAACTCTGCCACGTTACTCTCCGGCCTGTGTATAGATTCAACGGAACAATGCAGCGGGTCAATGATAGCATCCTTCTCTCCCCTCTGCTTTTGGAAAGCCAGACATTCCATACCGGAGGCTTGTGAGGGCTGTTATTGCCTTTAGTATTTCTGTCAATATGCTGTTTTCTAGCTGCAGCTCCACAGTGTGAAATGGCTCAACCGTCGCTGCTCTCAGACAACATTTAGTTAGATCAGAGTGTCTGGAGAAGCTTTTGTTCCAGCGTGCCATTTCGAGCTCAGTAGAGAAGATGTCAGTACGTGCTGCATGTGTTCAATTTAAATGAAGCGAGCAGCTGTCGGGCTGCTGCTCATCCTTATAGGACGCGTAGAAAAACATAAAAATCACAGCTGTAAGCAAAGTCGATGAGTGGTTCGGGCCAGCGGAGCCCTGATGGAAAATAAAAAGCATTTAAATGTGACGCTTCAGTGTCACTCTAGCATTTAGTCCACCCTCAGTAATATAAATGGTGTTGACAAAATACTAGACACCTTCTATGACAAAATAGCACAAAAACAAAAGATCCGAAATGTCGATAAATGTAAATCAATGCCTCCCTCAACCCCTCTGACGGTGTTTCAACAAAAACAAAACAGCTTAATGAAGGGAGGATTTAATGCAAGGCTGCTTCAGTTTAAAGCTACCTGATAAACACCAGTGTCGGCTTTTAAAGAAACTTCCTCCCGCTAAATATTAACAAAAACATCAGTGTGCCATAAATACGATCCGATTAATCGAGACTCAACGCTGGATCTATAAATTCAGCTTTTGCTCTCGAACAATAGTTTGCACTACAACCCCTTTAACACAAGAGGGGAGTGTTGCATTGCTCATTATCACAGAAGTAGTGTTAAAAACTCACAAAGATTCGACTGGACAGGTCGTCGGACTCTTATTGCAGACGACATTTTTTTTCTAACGCCTGATCTTATATGATGAATATGACAGATTAGTTGGCATAGTTCTTTCGGCACAGTTAATCAGCGCAATTATTATTTTCCATTGCAGCTGTGCAGAGTGCTGGTGCAAAGGATAGCGTCGCATTCCACATTACAATTAGTCATCCACCCATATGGTGCTCTGGCAGTCGCCTGTGATGAATCTGTTGTCGGTGACTGGCAGCAGGAGCCACCAGCTCTACTCTATCTACCCACTTAACATTAACAGCCACCTGTAGAAATAACGAACAATCTGGGAAGATGAAGGTTGTAGACGGTGGCGTGTTACACGAGAACCGCAGCACAAACCGGTTTTCATATGGTTGTGCGACGTTGGTTTGGGCTGAATAGGGACCCTTTCAAAACGCGCAGAAGAAGAGAAGTCGGCTTTGTGCGGCGAAACACCAAAGCCAAGAATGAGAGGGTTCTGTGAAAGCGACAGGGTTTGATAAATTATGGATAAGCTGGAATAAACAGCATTAAGTGACAGGGAAAAGAATACCTTTTCAGCAGCCGTCGAAAAAACGCATTCAAGTCACATTCTAGCTTTTTCAGACCCATCTCACCCTCTTTTTTTATCAGTAAATGGAACTGGTTTGAGTGTCACAACATCACCCAGGCAGACGGGGGAAAAAGATTTGATTGTACATGACACAAATCTGTACGAATACAGCAGCGACTGTGACTGTGTGTCCATAGGTGGCATCCTCTGTACATAGTGTTTTATAATGTTAAGGAAAAGGAATAAGAGGAAGGGACTGATTAGGTTTAACCTACATTTCAAGGGACGGTGGTCACATTTACAGTTCAAATGTATTCATACCATCACATTAAAGAAGGAAAACAACAGCTTCAGTCACTGAAATAAGCTGAAATTGACAAAAGTAAGAATAAATAAAAATGTAATGAAAATCATGACATTGCTTTTGAATTGTCGTTCAACAGAAATATAAAAAAATACATAAAAAACAAGCAAACAAGCATGATGGGACCCATGAACTAATATTTTGTTGAACAACCCTTTGAGCCAATCAGGTGTTTTCTGTAACTCTCCATCAGACTTCTGCACCTGATTTTGTGCCAAGTTTTTTTTTTTTTTTAATTATTCTCTTTGACCACAATTCAAAGGCACTGTCTTATTTCACTAAACTATAATTTTGCAAATTTTAATTTATTACTACTTTTTTCAGTTTCTAGTTATTTGAGGGTGAATTTTGCCTTTTCTTTAATGGAAGGGGATTAATAAATTTGAGGACGACTGTATCCTAATAGTACAACATATTGGCTGTCATAGTAAAATGACAAAAGACTGAAAATTATTTTCCAGGTTTCGGCGGTCCATGCTCTCAGTGGTGTTGTTTCCCAGGGGGGATGTCATTTTTAGTGTTGAGATAAAGACTCTAAGGACTCATGTGGGAATAGTGGCCCCGCAGCTTTCACAGCCTGTCTGCTGGTCCGAGGGTCTTCACTGTGTCTCCCACCAACAATTTTCCCTCTCTCTGCCCTCTCCATCTGTCTTTATCCCTCTCTAGGGTCTCTCACTCCTTGCTTGTACAAGTTTCCAGATCATGGATTAAGCAGCGGCTCTTGTGCATTAAGCCACGGTTTCTCATCGCTGCCCTCGGCCCTCCTAACAACTGATGAGGCCCCCGGGGGCCCCGGTGGAGAGATGAAGAGCGACGGCCAAAGGAAGAGCATGCGGGACCCGGAGGACGCCCCGGCCATGGACTCCCCACAGATACGAGAGCTGGAGATGTTCGCAAACGACTTCAAAATCCGGAGGATCAAACTCGGTGAGTACGATCACTTTAAAAATAACTTGAAACCATCTCGCTGTCCGACTGCACCCGTGAGATACCCTTTTTACCACACATGCTTCTGTGTTTGTGTACCCACCTCGCTGCTCCTCTGTTTGTGTGTGTGTGTGTTCTGTAACGTATTTCTATTTCTGCTTCATTTTGACCTGCAGGCTACACTCAGACTAATGTAGGCGAGGCTCTTGCTGCTGTGCACGGCTCAGAGTTCAGCCAGACCACGATCTGCCGCTTTGAAAATTTGCAGCTGAGCTTTAAGAACGCCTGCAAACTCAAGGCCATTCTGGCTAAATGGCTTGACGAGGCTGAGCTGGCTGGTGGTGAGTCACACGCATCCACTCCACTCCATCAACCCCCATTTAGAGTGTTTATTTGAGTGTAATCTTTATCCGAACCTGCACTTTTGATTTTCGTGTGAGAGTATCTGTATCTGTCAAAACATTCGGTATTAAACTCGTGCTTCTTGTTGCATGATTATGAAGATCTGAAAGTGACTCGGACACGACTTGTACTTGACTCCAAGCAGTTCCACCTGGGAGAGAGTTTCTCTCATTGCTTTATTGAAATGATTCTTAGAGATCTGAAGATGTGAAACTGTCTTGAATTCAACAAGGGAAGAAGGCAAACATTAAAAGTAAAGAAGTTAAATAAATGCATGTATGTATTGCAGAAGTGTTATCTTTGTTCTGTTTTCATCTTCTTTAACCCTGTTCAGGACTTTGGGGGTCTTTTGGACCCCGGGCCATTTGCTTTAGGTGACAGGTATTGTTTTTTTAAATATAAAAAGAAGGACATGCATTTGTCATGCATTTGGCACCAAAAATACATCAATAGTATAAAAGCCTATAATAAATACCAACACATATTTTGCACATTTTCTTTCTTGGGGTTCAACGGACCCTGAAAGACCTTCTACAGACGGCAACATGAAAGTCCTGAACAGGGTTAAATCACCTCCTGATCACCCAGATTTATGTTGGGTCACCTTGAAGTGGCCAAAACTTTAAGTGAGGAGTCAGAAATTCTGAGAAAACATTGCAAAAGAACACAAAGAAAGTCTGGATGTTCTCGATTCCCTTTTGATTTGACCATTAATAAGACATTAAAAGCCCAGTAGGCCAGATTAGGTGGAAACAATAAGAAGTTCAATTTATCGCTGTGGTGCTGAAAAGATATACTTTTATGTCCGTACTAAGAAACTCGTAGTAACAACGCACTCTCTGACTTTCCTGCAGCCTTGTACAATGACAAAATAGGAATGAATGAGCGGAAGAGAAAACGGAGAACAACTATCAGGTGTGTACCGTACGGCTCAAACATAAAAAAAACCGCACTGTTCAATAAGTTTGGTCTGACAAGGTTCTCCTTTGTTCTCTGCCTCTTGTTCCACGCTGCAGCCTTGGAGCTAAGGAGGCCCTGGAGCGCAGCTTTGTGGAGAAAAGTAAGCCATCGTCTCAGGAAATAGCACGGATCGCCAAAGGCCTCCATCTGGAGAAGGAGGTGGTCAGAGTCTGGTTCTGCAACAGACGCCAACGGGAGAAACGCGTCAAAACAAGCCTCAACCTCAGCTCCTGCTTGACCAAAATCAGTCCAAACTGCATAGCACAGATGAGTAAATCGCAAAGGCCGATGACGTAATTTAGAGATCGAGAGTCTCCGTTCAACTCCACCGTGACTAAGGCTCCGTTATGACCGCAGCTGATGCAAAAGAGATATTTGTCCGACAGCGATGTAACATGGGAGAACCTCACTCAACAGAAACCAATAAAAACTTCCTTCATCCTGCATCAAGCAGCTGCTGATGCACTAAAACTTCCAATTCAGATTACACATCAAGCTGACAAATAAACAAAACCAGCGCATCTCAATTTTGCTATAAAACATGAGTCACCGTCAGCAGTCAGTGTGTGCCTCCTTTGCACAGACATCCCTCACTGCTGTTTCTTTTTTTTTCTTATTTATTTGAATAGAAATGTTTCTGTATTTAATCCCACCATGTCGCAGGAAACCCAATTTAAAGAAAATGCAGAAAAAGCAACCCAGCCATTATTTTCCCTTGTTTGAAGTTGAAACTGTGAGGATAAAAGGTTTTCATTAGCGCCATATGAGCTGCTGGCTTGATGCTGCAGCTGCCGGTCCTGACATTTAAATGCAGTGAATCTTTTCAGTGCTCTGTTTTCTATATGAATGTTAGAAGTATATGAACCAGACAGACTCCGATATAATTTAATCCATCAGCACCGGAGTGCAGACGAGTGTTGGTGAAGATCAGCTCTGTGCCTTTTCTGAAAACAGGCATTAGCAATACTGCCCTTGATTTTGTCCTTTGTGGATTGATGAAATGAAGTTTTCGACATCTGCTTGTACCAGCAGGACTCTTTTGGTCGTAGTGTTTGTGTTTTTCTAATTAGAGTCGATGCCTCTGTGTCCTCCTCTTAATTATCTGTCACTGTCTTATGAAAAATGTTTTATTTAATTCAATGTAGCTGTAGCCCATACAGTAATATATTTAAAGTTTCACAACAGCCTATTTATTTGAGAGCTAATATATTGAGTCGATGTACTTTACTGCGTGAAACTTCTTTTGATTTATGGTCCAAAGTCGGGGATATGTGAAACTTTCTGACAGCGACGTGCCATTTCCCTCGATGTATGATGGATTTAATTTTTCATATTTGTTGTTGATGTTTTGTTTTTGTCGCTTTGACAAAGTGTCACACGAAGAAGAGCGTCAGCCTGTCACGAGTCTGACCTGGTTGGGATGACTGATGTGAAGCATCTTAATAAAGACAAGGAACAAGCAGAAACACCTCCTCCCACAGAACTCCTGACAAAATCTGGACCTCGTATTATTATAGGCAAGCATTCATCAGGTTGCCAGAAAGTTTGTGTCCTGAAAAAGCCCGAAAGTGATCGACTTAATGAAAATAAGTGTGATATAAAAATGTCAGTTAGATTGATGTGAAATGACTTCATTCGGCTCGATTGAAAAGATAAATATGCCAAAGATGGTTAGTACAAACTTCTGCACTTATTTTACGAAATTGTCCCGTTTTAATTTCCAGGTACTGAAAGTTAAATCAGTTCGGCTCCTATCTGGCAGACAGTTAACTGTGTCTAATGAAAAATTACACGTGTCATATCTCATTTTTACCATAGTGGCCTGTGAATACGTACGTAAGGAGAGCGGGTCTGATCGGGCGCACAGCACGAAGCCTACGATTCACCGAGGAGTCATAAATAAAGCTACAAGACACCTTAATTCAGAAACAAGCACTTTCCACTGTGACTAATGTATGGCTGCATAACTGGAGTGCTGTCAGGGGAAATAAATGCAGCAGGGTCGCTGACTGCTGTCACATTTCTGAGGGTGCGCAGTGGGAAGTTACAGGCACACTGTGCTTAAGATAAAGCTGCTGAGAAGCTTCCGAAGCAGGTCTCACAGTTGCCTTAACGCTGTTGCTCTTGAAGATATACCTTTAAAAGTTAAACCAGACTTTGTATTTTTTATGTGCTCAGAGAACACTGGAAGCTTATATCGTGATTACTTTTACAGTTTCCCGTATATATAAATGCATAAACCTGTCACGTTATTACAAATCTTTTGTTAGCACCAAAGCCAACGTGGGGTTTTATCTCTTGCTTTTTACTACACTGCCTGGCCAAAAAAAAAGTCGCCACCTGGATTTAACTAAGCAAATAGGTACGAGCCTCCTATTGGATAATTACTGCATGGGCGATTATCTTTCAGCTGGCAGCAAGTTATTTAACCCCAACTGGTGCAATGACTTGCTTCTCATTTCCTAAACAACCATGTCGAAAGACACATCCCGTGGTCGTGGAAAAGATGTTAGTCTGTTTGAGAAGGGTCAAATCATCGGCATGCATCAAGCAGAGAAAACATCTAAAGAGATTGCAGAAACTACTAAAATTGGGTTAAGAACTGTCCAACGCATTATTAAAAACTGGAAGGATAGTGGGGACCCATCATCTTCAAGGAAAAATGTGGCCGGAAAAAAATCCTGAATGATCGTGATCGGCGATCACTTAAACGTGTGGTGAGATCAAATCGAAGAAAAACAACAGTAGAGCTCAGGGCTATGTTTAATACTGAAAGTAAGAGCATTTCCACATGCACAATGCGAAGGGAACTCAAGGGATTGGGACTGAACAGCTGTGTAGCCTTAAGAAAACCACTAATCAGTGAGGCTAACCGGAAAAAAAGGCTTCAATTTTCTAGGGAGCATAAAGATTGGACTGTGGAGCAATGGAAGAAGGTCATGTGGTCTGATGAGTCCAGATTTACCAGAGAGGCAGGTGAAGTGATGCACCCATCATGCCTAGTGCCTACTGTACAAGCCTGTGGGGGCAGTGTTATGATCTGGGGTTGCTGCAGTTGGTCAGGTCTAGGTTCAGCAACAGCATGTGCTCAAAGAATGAGCTCAACTCACTACCTGAATATACTGAATGACCAGGTTATTCCATCAATGGACTTTTTCTTCCCTGATGGCACAGGCTTATTCCAAGATGACAATGCCAGGATTCATCGGGCTCAAGTTGTGAAAGACTGGTTCAGGGAGCATGACACATCATTTTCACACATGGATTGGCCACCACAGAGAGAGGTGCTAGAGTGCTAGAGAGGGCTTTGCACAGCGGCCAGACTCTACCATCATCAATGCAAGATCTTGGTGAAAAATTAATGCAACACTGGATGGAAATAAATCTTTTGACATTTCAGAAGCTTATCGAAACAATGCCACAGCGAATGCGTGCCGTAATCAAAGCTAAAGGCGGTCCAACAAAGTATTAGAGTGTATGAACTTTTTTTTTTTGGCCAGGCAGTGTATTTACTACAAGCACATACTGTATTCTTTATATTACAGCCAGTGGTGTCTCTCAGATATTTGTAGAATTTCTTCAACCGCTCCAGCCATCCATCGCCTTCTAGTTCGTAATTTCTGATCTGCACAAAAACTCGCTCGACTCCGTAATGACGAGCTACATTATCATTGCTCGGCAGTTTCTTTTGCAGATTGATTTTAATAGTCTGAGCTGCTTTACTCCGCAGCGATAACATCACTTTGACGGAAATTAATGCAAACTTGATGTCTGTTGTGAACGATTAGACAGCTTGAGCAACTCTCGACGATCTGCCATTTATATGGAAATGAACGGAAGCCAATGGCTGCGTGGAATAGTAGTAACAATACTTCTACTTTACAGTTTCTGCATAAAATGTACAAACCATGTACATTATTTGCAGCTACAGCTTGACAAAAAAAGGTTTTCAGACTCTCAAAAGAAGAACAATAATCAGGGCCCCACTAGGTTGTACCTGAAGAAACTTTATTCCTTATAAAAGCCATAACCCTTTACAGAGTCACTTTATAATGACTAAGAAGGAAACAAAAATGAGTATACACACACCTTTTACATTGTGTGGAAATGTCCTAATCATGGAACTGCACTCACACAATGTCAAAATCTGTTAAAACATTGATTCTGTTCATAATTACAATAGACTGCTAAAAGGTAGAGGAGCGGATGATTTGCAAAAAGTTCAATGAGTTATGATTTGTACATGTCAGACACATGCAAGAATGAGACGTTTCTGTTTTGGCAATGTGGATCGATAAGGAAACAAAAGGCCATAGAGAGAGAGAGTGACAACGTTACTATGAGAGGATGTCGCCGTCACTCTCACGAAGCCTGGAGCTGGCTGACATTAACAAATCACTGTATAGAAAAGTCAGCTTCAGCCCTGGAGAAAAGAAAAAAGAAAAAAAGCATCTCTTAGATCACAGTGTCATTTTTAGCAAACCCTTCCATCATCGTGTTGCTGTTGTGTACGTGTGTTTGTTGGAGTGAGGCAGCTTAAAATAACAAATGACAGTAACTGCACAGCAGCTGAAACAGAAGAGGGACTGCAGGACCGGTGCCATCCTACAATCACTGTGTGAATCAAACATGAACCACAAAACTCATTTGATTACTCGCTAGCGTCAGACAATCGATACAAACCTCTTTGATATGCCAGTCTTTCATTAGTCCTAATTTCTGTCTGATTAAGTTTGCTCGCACACTCTGCACGGCATCACAACTTGAGTGGCACTAATGAAATGCCCTCAGATCAATGTCTCACCACCTCATGCAAGTAATGTGAAGGCCTTACTACAGCCTGAAGGTATTAATGTCAGTTACACATTCCTCATGCACATATCTGTCTCCGGGATCTATAGGAGCATACCTAAAGATTGTAAAAAAAAAAACAAACATGGCGATTAATTAGCTCGTTGACCGGTTGTTTTGCTTGTATGGTGACGGGTTGTGTGTATCCTGACTGTGAAACCCCAGGATGACAGAAAAATCAAAGAGAGGCAATTCACCGGCAAAACGTCGCAACCAGTGTGCCTTAACGAGGATAGTTTGCCTCAAGGGAAGTAAATAAGAAAGGTTTTTAGATTGACCAATGGCAACAAAGATAGCAGGTAAATAGTCCGAGTAGGAAAAATACAAGTTCCAACCCCAAAGCGCTTTTTAATTCCCATGCTGTAGTCGTAATAACTCCCCGAAGAAAGATCACCCACCTCTAATCACGTAAAAGCTGATAGATTATAGGACTAAGTCAAGATTGACCGAAACATCAGAAGGGAAAAGATCACATAAACGCTTGTAGCCCTTATGAAGACAGACCGGTGGTAAACAGGTGCTTCCTTAGGTCAAGTATCAATCGTTGATCCACCGTAGAGTTGTGGGCCCTCTAATGTCGTCATAAATATTAGTTTCGCATAAATATTTTTAGATTTTCTGCCCTAATGATCTGTAAGGCAACTTGCAGAAGAATATGTGTGCGTTAATACGCATCAGCCAGCCTGCATGCCTTTGAATGTATGTGTGTTGTTTCACCTGCACCTCGACAAAACCAGTGTGTCTAACAGAGTCTGTATCAATCAGTATTAAGGTTGCACTGGTTTACACTGCGAGCATTAACACAAGGAAGACGATTAGTCCACTCCCAGAGCTCGGAGCTGTCTCTCGATCTCGTCGTCAGAGATGGTGGCTTGCTTGGAGGAGGAGGCGGCGCCGGGGACACTCTTTCCTGCAGCTGGAGCTCTCACCATCTGGAATCACACATGGGCAGAAAAAGAAAAGGAAAAAAAAAAAATCACATTAGCAGGCTCACCCATTTCAGATTTAACACACAAACACACACACACATAATCACAGAGCGTCATACTTGTCAGAATGGCTGCCATGCACAGCTGCACAGCGCCACTACAAATCCATATACAAAAGAACCGTTCAGATTTAATCAGAATTAGAATTATTGTCAGTTACATTTACATAAACTACTATTTAACCCCATGCAATGTTTGCTGTATAAATGAGTGTGATGTCCCTTTAGGTTTCTATAGCAAGTGTCATTTAAAGAAGTCCTTTTCCAGCAATAATCATTTTATTTGCACGGCTAAACAGAGCAGAAGTTGTCAAAGTTAATCTGTAAACTTTCTTCATTTCTTCTTTAAAGTGCAGGCTGACATGTTCGCTGGTTAATGATCAAATACTGCCACCTTTTTGCCTGATGTTATACACAACAATCTGGTATTCACCAAAAGGCATCATTAATTTAAGTAGGTCTCGGTACATATTTATCAAATCACTTTTGGATTTGGTGAAAAACCTGAAGTCAGTTGCAGCATTTGTTGTTTTACACACACATCATCATGAAACACAGAAGAATGATTCCAGCAAACATGAACAACACATATGGATGCTTATGCTAAGTTTATTTCAAACTACCATAGTTTATGAGTCTTGTAACTTCCTTTCAGCTTCCGGCTTGATTGAAAAAGGAAGAAAAAAAAATGCTTTTCTTGTACTGCTTGATAAGAGAGCATTCAGGGAATTATGTGCTCAGTCTTTTATTGCGATTTAGCAGGAAATAATTACCCTCCTGCCAAAAAATCAAAGACAGTTTTGTCGATTTTATTAAACCGCCTGTTTGTTCTCTCCAGCTGTGGGCCTCTTTATTGGGCAATTTGTGCTTTTGTGCTTTGTGTTGTGAGAGGTAATAACTCATGGGGACCCCAGGGGGAGCCAGACACACAGCAGACAAACAGCCTGGCACTTATGAGGGAAACAGTATGCAGAGCTGGAAAAGCTGAGGGCTAGCCCCACCATGTGGCAGCTGGAAAACATTTTAACAGTTGAATAAAGCCATGTGGAAGGCTGATTGTTCATCTTGCTAGGGGCTGTGTGCTCCATTAAGACGAGCTACATCTGTAAAATGTGTGGTACTGATTCTTCCTCAGCTCTGCACATGGGCTTAGAGTGTATTCGAACAATAGGACGTATGCAGTTCAGGTAAAAAGAAAAAAAAGAGAGAGATAAAGTCAGAGGTAATTTGTTTCTCCCTCATTTTGAATTTCTTACCTTCCCTGAGATCTCAATGCCAATCTCATCCAGAACCTGGTTGACAATGTCCTGAGATTCCTCTTCGTCCCCGGACTCATCAAAGATCTCGTCCAAAGTGTCGTTGACTGAACAGAGTGTGAGTCAAGAAGGGAGGAGACAAAGACAGAAAAGGCAAACCCATTGATTTTCAGTCACAAGTTTGGACTTCACAGTTAGGTAACTTTTGGCAAAAACAAATGTCGTTTTGTATTCACGCTAGTAAATATGTGTTTTGCATTTTTCAAAAACCCTATAACAATAAATTGCACCTCACATCACTGCTCACACCACTCCCTGCATATCCTGACAGTCTGGTTTGGGTACGCCTGTAAATACCAGAGCGGTGTGTATGTTATGTGTCCTTACTCATGTCCTCAGTCATGTCCATCTTCATGTTCTCTTTCTGGAAGTCCTGCATGGTCTTCAGGGTCTTCTCTGGATCCATCTTTTTGTTGACTGCTTGCATTGTCTAGGAGACATTATCGAAAGAAGTGTAGAGATATTTATCTTGACATTTTAGCTGCTGTGAGAGCTGCTCTTGGATTTAGCATAACCGTTTGTCTTTTTTACAGAATGGTAAAAAATACAAGGACGCTAATGACGGGCGAACGACTTTGTGTTCATATAGAGAAGCTTCACTCTCAGTGAAAAATGTTGAGGCTAAATTTCCTTTCATGAATTGTGTATTGACACCAAGTTTGTGTGTGTCAGATATAAAACAATTAACACGTTCTCTCTCACACAAACACGGCCTCACATACACCTCATCACACTCCATTAATCTGAAGCCTAATTATATTTGACCTGTCGATGTTTGCCAAGTCTGACTCTGTACCGCACATCGCTCCTGGCCAATTACCGTCTCTCACACTCCATTAGCAGCGATGCTACAAGACGTGGATTTAAACATGAACAGATCCCACATTAATACTTTAATCATAACACTAAAGTACTGATATATTTATATGCACTTATAAGTAATTAGAAATCAAACCGTGGGCAAAACTATGAAATAAATTAGTTCTACTGGTCCACTTTTTAAATATTGGAAGATCAGTGCATCCCTTTGCTTGCTATTTGGCACTTGTACATCTGTGAAGTATGCTCATCTCTCTTAAACAAAAAAAATGACTATGAAGACATGTAAACTATAAACTTTACAGCATATTTTGGTCTTACAGCTTGCCCTGTCGATAATGACTTTGTTTGACTTGCTGGTGACAACACCGTCGTTTTTGCCTGGCAGACCAGTTGAACTGAACAATATAAGGATTTTACCTTGGCTGTGGAAGTAATGGCACCGGCCATCTTCATTTGGGAGTTCATGAGTTTGGTCTTCGTAGTCATGGAGGTGACCTTGGAGCTGACAGCGTACGTCCGATTCTTCTGCTTTCTAAGCTGGACCAACTGCTTAGCGAGAATCTTACATGCTTCGCGATTACCGCTCTTGGCCATTTTCTTAATCTCCGCCTCCTGGAGAGGGAAAGAGGAAAGATTAAGACATGAGGCACTGGGTAAACTTTTCAACAATTACAAGACTCTTCATTTCAGTCTGAATGTTTCTTTGTACACATGTTGTGTGAACGTCTGTTCAAACATAAAGTGTGAGTGTGTATAGAATAGACATTAAAATGGTAAGAACTGGTTTCACTGAGTGATGACAGACAGCAGGGGAAGCAACAGCATATGGCTTCAAATTCTCATTTAGACGTAACCCATGTAGCTGGAACAAATCTACTGTGACGACTGAATGTGTTAGTGTCTCCTTGCTTCATGGGTTATCTGCCTAATAGTGAAATAAGCATAAAATATAGAGGTAATGTCCTATTGCAAAAGCATAAAAATGCACACAAAAAAAAACAGGATATGAGGCTGACCCTTCAAAATATTGTGTTGCAGGAACGATTCCTTACAAAAAAAGAAAAATATCCACACAAAGTAATGGTTAAAGAAGTGTGTCAGCGTCACTGAGTGCCACCAGTGTTCAGTTTCACTATCATGACATCATGTCAGAAAAAACACTGAGATCTCGTCAAACTATGACAGACTGAGGATGGCGTTTTGTTTGGAATCCATTCCTTGCCTTCTGTTTTTATCAATCCATTCTGACACTGACACGGTTTCACTTTTCTTCTTCCGTATTTCTCATGTAGTTAATCACTTACAGTAATACAGTAAAAGGTTTGGTAGTATTGATGAATACCAGTTTGAATCTCTTCTTCTTACACACCTTACAGTAGAAGTACACACACACACGCATACACATATAGTGTGTATTGATAAACAAACATCCCCACGGAGTCCCAGTGAGACCATTATGTTCGTAAACATACGCATCGTAAACGCAGTCACACGGATCAAATGTTACTCGTTGGCAAGCAAATACATGCTTTTAGCTTTGGTAAACATCAGAAATACACTGATGCCTACAGGGATCCTGTGTGTGGGCACGAGTGTGTGTGAGCGTCCCAAGAGACGAGAGCAGAGCTCCAGGTTACGACGAGCGAGCCAGGCCCGTCAGCGCCGCCACAACAGCACCGGCATGTCTTGTTTATTTCTTGTGTGTGCGTGTGCTGAAAGCATCCTCCTCAGGAAACAACAATCAATTATTAATATTTGATAGTGCAAACGCAAAAGGCTTTTCCCCCACTCAGCTCTGTGTCTCACAAACATACACAACAGGTGCATTCGGTTCAACCTGCATTTGCCTCCTTGTGAACAATTCAAATGAATTCCACGGGGAAAAAAACGACTTTCTAGACAGAAAAAGCACAGAGTGACAATAATAATGTCAACTGCAGTGTCATCTGAAAAACTAAGAGTGCATTAACGGGGGGGAAGACAGAGATGAGAGCGGTGGGACTGCTGCTGATGAGAATGTCATATTTACTGCCCTGTCAGGAGAGGAAGGAGGAGGAGGAGGTGGAGGAGTGGGGGTGATGGATAGATAGTGCTCTCCTAGACATGAAGGAATGCAGCGCACAACTGTGAGGCTGTTAGGCTCTGCCTCGTAGAAAACGGGAACCTTAATGTAATAACAAGGGCAAAAATGCTGAAGATTTTTCTGAACAACGGCTGAACGATGTGTTAAAAAAACAGACCCAAGAAAAATCAAGGGTTTTCAATGCTTCATTATATGTGGTATATGTTTAAATTATTCTAATTGTGGTCTAAAACTGACTTAAAATCGTTTTAACAACCAAAATAAAGAAACTTCTCCAATAAAACGAACAGCAACATACAACTCAACAGCCATCACTAACATGGACACTATTTTAGCTTCACACTTTCTAAAGACCTCCAGCATTTCTTTTGCCCTAATTTTGACATGCCAGTGTCTTTCTTCTTTCACATTATCATCGATAAAAATATGTTAAAAGAAAGAGAACAGCTTGCCATAAAAAAACACTTTGCTGTTTGGGGGATAACCTTTGTTCTGTGTCATTTTTATTTAGCATGTGTGTGATTGTGATCCCACTGAAAGCCCGTGTGTTTGGTCGACAGTCGTGATTGTGCTAAACTGCAAATGCAGGTCATTTTCATTTCTTAGGCAAAGCATCTTTTATTCAAAATGGGCAACAAAGCTTTTAAAAACTCGACTAATTAGCGGAAAGCATTAATGAAGAACAAAAATGAGGTTTTCCCAAGGGGGGTAATTATGTCCTGCACGATATTGACTTAATACAACTGAGGGACACAGGCAGCTTCTTTCATCTTTTAGAGTGGAGAAAGGCTACGTGCAAATGTGATACAGCCTCATAGTGTAACTGTGTGAGTGTGTGTGTGAGAGGAGTCCCACTTGCCTGAAGCTAAGCCGCCATACCAGATCACGGTTTTCTGTTAATTTAGACCCATTAGCCAATCAGGCTCAATCCCAGATTGTAGGAAATAGAAGCAATATGCATGTGGGGTTGTAGCTGTGTGCGTGTTTGGGAAGCAGGGGGGGGTCTTAATAAAGATTTGATGCAATATGCAGAAATCTACACACACAAAAAAGCCTCGTATGCAGATACTCCTGTTCCCCAGACTTTTGGTATGTATGTGTGAGTGTACACATGTGCTCCTACCATTTGCTTCTCCTGTTTCTCCAGCGCTGCTCGGTCTCTGACGATCTGTCTCTGGGTGGTACGCATGTCTCTCGACTGTTCCTTGATTATATCTTTGGAGAAAATGAGAAGAAAAAAAATGAATCACCAATTAATACTTTGTAAGAGACTCAATGCCTGTAGCTCCTTCAACCGTTTCCACCAAATCACAAACATACATCCTCTGAACTGATGGGATTGCATTCATGAACTTGTCCGACTATCCACAAGGTTCCTCCTGGTTCAGAATGGGACTTTGAGTAGTGACTATGCACAGCAGTAAGCACGATCAATCTGCACGGATTAAAGGCAAAGAGGCTGTGCTGTCTGATATGACAGACATCTTTTTTGGGGACTTTAGCTGTTTGTTTCTTCTCACCATTTGATAAACAGACATTTATTATGCTGAGTAAATGACCTCTACCTCTGCCCTCAGTGTGAGCCGTTTGAATTAAAGACTTGCACAGCCTACATAATCAGAAGCTGGCAGCTGAATAGAGAGCACATATAAGGACCAGCTGCTTGAATGTGGGGACCCATCCCTTTTCTTCTTTTCTTCTCCTGTTTGGTTTAAATGTGGACCACCCTCAACTGTACTTTCTTTTTTTTTTAATAAAACATGCTATTGAGGCAACAGTAAAAATTGATTGAACAATGTTTAAAGATGATTATGTTTGCCGCATTTCTGGGGAAGTGCAGTTTAAAAAGGGCAGGGTCTCGGCCAGCTGCATGGCTTTGGAAGAAATGCAAAACATCTAGCCAGTGCCTTAATAGCGAGCATGTTTGAGTGCGCGCCCAGAACGCATGTGAAACACAACGGAGTAGTCAGCAGCGCACGGGAAACGCATACCGATGCTGCCAACTGTGGAAGTGCTTGGACAGCTCTTACCAATATTGAGTCAAACTCTAAACCGCCCACGCAAAAACAAAGTGGCATCATGTGAGATACCGTATGACCTTGAAGTCACACATTCATCCAGAGCTTCAGAGCAAGTGATGACCGAAGCAATCAGTGAAACAGACACGCACCTTCAGGACCGATATACCATTTTAGGATTATTCTTAAATCAGCTGCTTCGTAACATAAATCTGATTTAGTCTAAATTCAGAAGAGCTGATGGATGTGTTGATGTGCAGCAGTTTCTTTAGCAGCTTTAAATCTGAATGAATCTTCAAATAAAGTCAAAATTAAGAAAAAATAAATACAGAAATAAATAAATTAATCAAGCCAAGTCTAGTCAGTGATACTCAGAAACCACCAAATTACAAATTTGCCTGAAAGGGCTTAATAATCTACATTACATACGCCACACTATAGCCCTAGATCCTCATTTCAGATAAGGAAAGACTTCCAAAAAAAATAAAAAATCTTCAGCAGGGAAAAAAGGAAAGAGCAGCAGAGGATGGACCCCTCCTCTAGGACAGACAGATTTGTGTACATATGACATTATATTATGAAAAAAGAAGAAGGAGGACAATAAGTGAACAATGTGGTTCTAAAAAACTTATATCTATATGCTTCTATAAAATATGTAAGTCTCACTTTTTGGGAAAAAGCAGACCACAGGTTAAAAAAAAAGCTTATCTGTCTAAAAATGTCCCTAACTATGAACTCGGTGATGACACGTCAGTGCGCTGGACCACTTGTGAGAACGATTCATATATACGTATAAGGTGACGTGTCGCTAACGTCTCAAAGTGGGAGGGATATCGTCCTACAAATATGCGTGATCTAAGCCCCAAACCTCCAACTTCTCCAAAAAAGCCACTTCAACCACCTGACCCGGGGCAAAAACTGTGTCCCGAGACTGAGAGATGAGCAAAATTCTGGACTTGAGACGGGGACTGCGACCAGTCACAGCTGAGAAGACCTGACAATGGCTTGACAAGGAGTGGAGGTAACGCGGCACAGTGAGTACGGTACGCAGATGATCGGTATGGGTGAAACTGGAATGACAATGATGGGAGGAGAAAGTAGGCAGTGCTTTGAAAAGATTTTCAACCAACGCAGCTTATTTTTAACCTGCAGACAAGAAGCTGATGAACGATTATGTAATTTCCCACATAAACAAGCTTCATATATGGAAAAGGTGGAGTTTCTTCCCTCTGGAAACCCAGCATGCAGAGTCAATGTAATCAGTATCTGAGATAGAATAATTGATTCATTAATTTTGACAAAGTGGTTGCTGGTTTTCCATTTCGACCTTGCGAGGCTGATTACCAAGCCTGAGGAAAAATACTGACATCTTCTGATTGAAAGGCTGTTTTTTTTTACACTTGTACACTATTTAAATTAAAATGTCAAACTACGGCGACAGCATAACAATGATGTCATACATTAAGAAGCTTCCTTGACATTGCACAACTTTTATTACTCTGATGGAAAAATCTGCTTTCACAGCACATGAAGGCAGGCGTCTGAGAGTCATGCAGCCAAATGAATGTCTTCTTATTGAATAGAGGTGAAGGAACACTTGAATTAATCTGAATAAATAAAAACTAACGTGGGGACAAAGGCTGTATTTGACAATACTTTTTGACATTATTCATTCAACGTCTTGAAAAACATTTCATGACAACCGAGGCTTATGTATGTCGTCTTCATTTTAGCTCTAGTGGGGCAACACAGACCCACTCTGAAGTCTAACATTAACAAAAAAAACGTGAAGTGGGAACAAAGCAGCCTCTTCTAACATCATATATCGCCGTTAAGGATTACACTGTAATCCAGCTACATATATAAATAGCCTGTTCACTTAAGCTACATTGAGATTGGCAGCGTTTCTTTGCCAGACGTCAGTCAGCAATGTGGCTAATGACTCAACAAGACTGAGAACAGGTAAAACAAGTTAACCTAGCACAGCTAATTGAAGGCAACACATCAGGCTGCTCGCTGGGGCTAAAAACAAGTTAGCTAGCTTTTTTCCACACAGCAAACTTACCGTCGACAGTCTTCTTCTTGAAAATGGAAGCCATGTTGGTGTTTTATATCAACCTAAATAGTAAAATACAATTCCTGTACTGGTACACCGTGTGATTCCTGTCGTTAATAACGCCGTTTAGCCGTCGGACCGGGACGGTGGCGAGTTTAGCAGCCGCTGTTTCCTGGTTGACTTTCTGTTGTTGAGTTCCTCGCTCAGCTGACTGAGTCAACGGCTCCGCCTGACGTCACGGCGGGACTCTCATGATGCCTTCACTTGCACTTCGTAAAATATACAGTCGCGTTTAGAATCGTGTCTGGAGCCCTAAAAATGAGTTAAAAACTAGTAAAAACAAACAAACAAACAAACGAAAACACAGCAGCTTCTATGCGATAGCAAGCCTTTGAAATATTGGCGTCTAATGCAGAGGGATATCACCTAAATTACTATTTCTGGGCTCGTTCAGACACCTGTGCAGTACGGAAGGTCTGCCAAGACAAACCAGAGAACAAAAGCCACACACTGATAGACTCTGCTGGCATTGCCACTGCACTGACAGCTTGAAAATTATCCAAACTATTTTGGTCACAATTATAGTCTGTGGTTATTAGATTTCAAACCCTTTTGATTGCATGAGTCGCTTCATTCTACTAGCAGTCCTATGAAAAACTAAATATAATATCAACCTTAGCAATGACAGTAGTGACAAACACGGTAAAATCAACAGAAGCTTTTGTTGGTGCAGTTTGTTTAGGACAGTTTGATGGAAACATGCAAATTCTACTAAATTGGCTTAATGGTTTCCAATAAAGTTAGTCTCACAATATTCCCTGTTGTACTTGAAGGCAGCATACTGGGAGGAAAATGTTAATAAAATCCTAATTGCAACAAAGAAATTTCCCATTTTTGCATAATGACAGGGCTGGGCAAGCAAATGAAGTCTCATTTATAGTTTGCACGAATTTTGTTATTCACATTTAAATAATATTAATCAAATTAATGTCTTAATTGGTTTGATTTTTTTCAGTCTTTTCAAGTGGGGTTTCACACATGATCTGAGCAAATATCTGGAAATGTTGTATACACTGGTACATAAATATGTAGACCAAGGTAAGGAAATAATCCACAGAGAGGGGCAACTGTCTATAAAATCACCCCCACAGCATCATAAATTCCATTCTCAATTTCATTCCTCGCCCCTTTATCCCCACAAGACACCGTTTCCACACACTCCAGTTTGTATTCATGTATTCGTATTGTTTTATCTCATATTGATGTCGTGAGCAACTTTATGTGGGGCGGTGGGACTCTTGAACCATAACCAACTCAATTTTGTGCGTGGTGTGTCTCAGTGGTGGGGGTGGCGGCAGCGGGAGGAAGTAGAGGAGAGGATGTAAGGTGTTGGGGGGGGATGTCCTCCCAGAAATAGTGGGAGATGCCAAGTTGTGGCTGGAGCAGAGGAGAGAGGGGTGACTTTGAGGAGAGGCAGAGGAGGATGGGTAGCCCTCAGCTCTTTCCTTTATCTCCGAGGAGGTGTGTGCGTGCACGGTCGCCTGTGTGCATCGGCATGTCGTCCTGAGGCGTTGTTCTTGTTAAGGTTATTAGGGAAGATGTTTGGCGCTAATCAGCGGAGGACTACCGGGACCCCCACTAAACGGCCTCATCATCACAGGGCCCCAGTGGTGATAAATCTAGCCCCAAGCACCCAGAGGGCCTGCTGGTACTAAGCCTGTATCTGTCTCTGGCTTTGTTGGTACAAAGTAGTAGTAAATCAATACTCAGGGATCAAATTTAGGATTTATTTCTGCCTCTGATAGGTATATTGGCTTTTGATTAAACACACATTGCAGACCTGATCAATATTCAGTGTGAAGACATCCATTTAGGTTTATTCTGATGAATCACATTGACTGGATACCATTTAAATATGACCTAAACGCAGCCTCTGAGGTGGAGTTTTTTCTGCCATAATCATTAAACATGCACACAATTTCCAAAAACACTGGGTTTAGAGAAGTCCAATTATCAGAAAGTGGATACTGGTGCAACACATTATGAGTTAATCAGCGCAATCATGGACAATTGTGAATTAATATGCAATTAAACAACAAATCAATAGGGTGTAAGGAATTTCTTCTCTTCTTTTGTCAGTTTCAGTGCTTTTCTGCACCACTCTCTCCACTCTTTTCATGTGTCTATGTGTTCTGTTCTCTTCCTCTGCTCTGTGATCTAGCCCTGGGGCGAGCAGACGTGTAATGTTAAGGCACTAAGTACAGAGTGAATGGACACACACAGCAGAGAGAGACGTTCATGTGTGAAATGAGATCTGTGCACAATCAGTGGGAGTCGCAGCCATAAAAGCGCATCAAGCTTTTCTGCTTTAAGGTATCATTGAACAAATCGCGCAAATCCCTTCACTTGATGACTGTGGAGTTGTTTCAGTGTAGTAACAACAGTGTTTTTCCCTCCCTTCTCTTCACAGATAAACCCGGACAACCAAACATGAAGCTGAGTGTGTCGGCAGCAGAAATCTTCTGCTTCTTCTTCTTCTTCTTCTTCCACACACAAGTCAACACAAAAACTCGAAACACTTCCGATAAGTTTTGCTCAAGACAAAACAGACGATCCTGACTCAGTGATGTCTCATTTTTACAATACAGGATTATCATCTGCTCCATATATCAGCAGAACCACGGATTCCATTATTTTTTTTTATGATTTGTCATTTGCAATAGAATTTCAACAAATCTCCCCGAGGCCCCACGGTACGCGTATCTCATTCCAATATTTTGCAAGCATAAATCCTGAATCATAATAGGATATATAATGTGAATATGGGCGGATTTATTCCTTCTACTCCTGACATGTAACTGTGGGCTGAAATATGTTTGTATGCAAACACAGAGAGACAGTGGGCTGCGATGGGAGATGTGGGATTTCAACAGCTCTCCTTCACTCTGATGGATGGATACTTCACTGCCACACAGATGGAGAGAGATGGAAGGAGCTAGCGAGGACACAGGGAGCACCAGGAGAACACAAGAGATTAGTCTACTAAACAAAAGAGATAAAGGAATGCTCAGACGGTGGGAAGTTAGTGGTGATGTTGGAATCTTTGCTGCTATTCAAATGTGGCTCTTGCAGATCTTTGAGGATCAGTTTCACTCAGTAGTGCATCCGGAGTGTGTCTAAAAATACAATGCAAGCACTAGCTGTGTTGCAATCATTCTGAGGTGCAGCTCAGGGAACTATAACACAAAATAACAAGACAAAGCAAACCCCTGCTGTGTGGGTCCACTCAGAACAACTAGTTGGACAAAGCTCTCACTAAGAACGTCTGCATGCACAGGAGGCACATTTATGACACTTTGCCGCCTCTTCATTTAGACAGTAGCGCAGTTGAAACTGTATACTGTGATCATGGGAACACTTTAATTATCTCTATACCACCTCTAGAGGACTTTGTTACATCCGCTAACGCAAAAAAATATGTATATTTCATGTTCAGTATTGGGTGTTCTCTTTCGTGTTCTTGCATGGACCATGTTCAGGGCCACAGCTTTTTGCTGCTGATATTGACTTTTGACATTTTGTGAAATAAACTGATTGGCAAAAGATCAAATTAATATCCATCCATCCATTATCTATACACCGCTTTATCCTCACTAGGGTCGTGGTGGGCTGGAGTCTATCCCAGCTGAGGGACACCCTGGACAGGTAACCAGTCTATCACAGGGCTACACTTAGAGACAGACAACCAAGCACACTCACATTCACACCTACGGACAATTTAGAATCACCAATTAACCTCAATATGTTTTTGGGGAGGAAGCCGGAGAACCTGAAGAGAACCCACCCATGGAGACTCCACACAGAAAGATCCCGGGCGTCCTAACTGGGATGCTAAGCGGGGATCTTCTAGCTGCAAGGCGACATTGCTAACCACCTTGCAGCCCTCAAATTAACATCGATCTAAACAAACAAAGCTACATCCAGGTGAGTTTTAACATAAACTAATTTAGTGTATTCTGTTTGTTTAATCCAACATTATCCCAGTTAGCTATGAGTTAGTTTTACGAGGTGCTATGTGCAGACTTGTTTGTCACATAACTCTTCATAAGATTTAAATTTGTCGTTTCACTGCTTTGTTTTTGTACAAATTAAACCAACAAGAACGTTTCTGACATTCCCATCCAAGTATTTTACACTGCCAAAAAAAAAGAAATAAAAAGGTTATTTCAAAAAAAATAATAACGGTGCTGGTACATTTTGTTAAGGTTCATTGCAGTCGACATCCTAAACTCCAGCTTCACAAACAGATGTTAAAGAGGCAATAATCTCTCAGCTAGAAAGCATAAACATATATTTTCAACAAAACGAAGCTCTTCTTTTAAATGTAAGACACCCGCTAATTGGGTCAATCCACTGTTAACACACGCACTCTTTGAAAATGAATTACTAATGAGACATCAGATTCCAAACAAAGTATGAAAGAAGTGGAGAGGACTGAGGACATATGGAAGACAGCAGGTGGCTGCGAGAGAGCGAAGAGACGGAGGGAAAGTAGGAAGCAATGAAACAGGGTGGCAGCAGCAGGGGAGGCAGAGGGCAGGGGAGTTGGAGATGGTCTAATAAATCGAGTGAGTGACTCCACTCATTTTTGCCCGTGGGACGAATCTGGTTGCGCTCACCGGCGCAGCGCAGCATCAGGGAATTGTGGGTAATGAGAGATTATTTGCCCCTGTAGTGTTTGCTCATCATCATTGCCGCCCCCAACCTCCCCTGCCTCCCAGAAAGCACACACACACACACACACACACACCACTACTACACACAAGCAGGAACAAATACATGCAGGTGTAGAGCTGCACGGATACATGAGAAGGAAACGAATCGCACAGGCACGCTGTTGGTTTTGTGATAAAGGTCAAACAGCGAGGTGTTATTGTTTAAATCTGCTCCTGGCGCCAATTTTGGATGTTACACTCAGTGAGGTACACACACACACACACACACACACACACACACACACGCACGATTCAATGACACCCTCTTTTATCCACAGGTCTTTTTAGCCTGAGGATGCCAATCTGTCTGAGGGTAGTTCCTTCATGCATCAAACCAGAACCCTCTTTTGCCCTCCCTCTCTTTCTCTCTTTTCTGTCTCCCCGGTCCACGGGCCTTCCTGCCCCGAAGCCAGACTGTGGCC